GTATCGGCTTCATGCTACAAGTGACGTGCGTCGATAAAAAAACCTTGTCACCAACTTTGAAGGGATGGTGTTGCTAACCGTTCTTAACTTTGGTGTCGGGATCAATCTGAGATGGACGAAGGAGATCGGATGGGACATGAGGGCGGTATCCCAAGTCACAGTAGAGGCCACACTGAAAGAGATCTTGATAAAACGATATAAAGATCCATATGTTGCTGCGAGAGTAATGAACATGCTCGACTATCACAAGCGCAGCAAGTGGTCGGGCACCATGCACAACCTGCAATTGTATGTAAGCAAACGTTTTGCTACTCCCGGGTTGGAAATGACTGCACAGTCAAGCATGGATGTTGTGAAAGGTGTGTTTTCCACTACTTACACATATCGCCTAGGCAGAGATCTCATTGGATACACGGACTGGCTTTCCACAACAGGCAGCAAAAAGCCTGTAGGCGGCAGGCGGTTTAGAGGCAGAAACCCCTTGCTACGCATGACCTGCTGGAGGCTGATGAGGAGGCTTATGCAGATGACCCCACTCTTGGTGACAATCAAGAGTAGGACTCTGATACTTGAGCTCATGAATCTGTTATTAATTATGATGAAGAGAACTTAATGGCTTTACAAAGTCTATCAATGTGAAAGGACCAAACCGGAACTCAGGGAAGAACTACGCCCCACTCCCCAAAGGGGCCAAGATCCCAGCGAAGCCGGAGGACTGCAACCAAACCTTGGTTGGACCTCCGGATCAGCGAAAGTGAATGGAAGGCTAAGATCGAGAAGGGAGTTTGCCTGCATTTCTTGAAACCTAACCGTAAAGTCCAAAGTTGTTATAGGCTGTAGGGAAACAAGAATCGGGTGTAGAGTTGGCATTAACACCTTCTACAGCAAGGGATCAACAGTCCTCTCTTGCAGCCCCGTCATCTGCTGATTCCAAGGTTGACGCATGTCATCTGCTCTATGTTGAGAGGCGGTTAACGGAGGCCCTACTTTTCAGACAACTTGTCATGCCATTTATAACAAAATCCAAGAGTCATTTTAACCAAACTTGCCACCAAGTCATAGAGTAGAGACCATAGTTACTTGCAAAAAAAAAAAAAAAACATATAAAACAGCAAGGCAAAATGACACTTTCATGCAAATTTCGTCAACATTCAGTTTCAGAAATCTTGAAAGATTTCAGAAATCTTAGCATTGTGATGACCCGACCAAACATGGACTGAAACACACGGCTGATTTCAGAGTTTTGCTCATAGATTGAATGCCTTGCTGAGTTTCCCTCTTGCTACTAAGTTCTGTAAGTCCGTGTGTGCATGCTTGCTGGACTGCATGTCTGTGAGAGAGAGATTACACCAATGGAACCGAAATAGAAGAAGATGCCTTGAGCTTTAATATCGTGGCGTACAATATCTTCCCCTCCACCATCCGTAACACCATTACGGATACTCAACCCTTCCACTCAATACACCACCCAGATTGAGGACATCCTACGTATAGCACTGTGCTTAAATAAGAGATTTGCCACCTGCTACCTGGAAACTCGAGTGGGCATACATTCCTTAGAAAAAACACACAATAAATGAGGTCCAAGAAGTTGAACAGATACCTGCGCTCGTTACCAAGCGCCTGAGAGGGCTGCCGACGATCTCCGTACCTGTACCGGACCGGCTTAACAGGCAGGTTCTGGTGGGAGTAAACGATCTGAATGGAGTCATTCGGTCTGTCGCGATGCAGAGGTATGGTTTCCGCCAGACGTAGCTCGTCTGTCCGTCGATAAAGTTAAAGAACTATAGAGTGTCGGCGCTGGCGCGGACTGCCCATTTTCACGGTACCTGTATGGACCCGCAAACCCCGAGCGGGTTCTTATGGAGACGGGACATCCTGGATGGAGTTGCTCATCTTGTCTTGATACAAAATCTCGCAGAGAGATATAAGCGCTGGACATACAGACGAAAGCTTGGAGACTGCTGCACAGTAACTGAAGCCGGTATATAACCTTCTTGTCGGGCGGGTACACATAGAAGGCGATTACATATAATGGAGTCCACCGTCTCGACCCGATTCAGAAACGTGGTCCGTGATGTTATGAGTTACCCTTCGCGCATCCGGGCCCTGACCAGCCGTAGGCTTCCGTATCAAAGATTTGTAAAGTCAGATTTCGTCCTTACTACTGCTAGTGCACACGGATTTTACTATCTCCTGGATTTTACTATCTCCTGGATTTTGCTCCAAAAGGGATTGCGTGAATCTCTCCGTTGCATCCATCTGAGTGCAGTCTGAATGATGTCACCACCGTACCCCAGTTTTTTCAATTCAATAGCTAGTGTTAGTACCTCGATGCATGTAGTCCCACTGCTATTGCAGTTCTCGGATATGCGTAGGACGGTGTTTGCTATAGTGGCGAATTTGGCTTTTTTAGGCCCAAAGGATGCGGGGGTTTTGTAAGTCTGATAACGGAGGTTCCCGGGTTCCCAGATTGATTCCCTGTTCTTAAATTTGTGAGTTACTAGTACCTGTTTGTCACTTTCGGCAACAAACAATCTTGTTTCCAAGAAGTCAAGAATCCCGGTTCCAGTATCAGTCCTTTCCAAACTGAGTTCTTTAGGGTAACAGTTCTCAATTTTTTCCAAGCGCTCTTTTGCATGTGCTCTTCCATTCGGGTCTTTTTTGTCAAAGAAAGAAAAGAGGAGGAGATCATCAATATATCTTTTCCCAGAGATAAGCTTTGCATCAGCGCCTAGTGATTTGATGAAGTTAAATTCTGAATACATGCACATAACACAAGCAAGCGCGGGACTTGCACGCCCCCCCATGGGAATTCCTTGCTTTTGGCGCAGAATAGCATCCGACACCAGGAACACAGTGTTCTCAAGCTAGAACTTGGTTAGCTTAATCAAGGCTGTAAGCCTGATGGATTTCCATCCTGCCTCGCCATGGGATTTTTCGAAGGTGGCCAACTTTAAACTGGTGTTGAGTTGAATCCATCGTTTGCCCCCTTGGTTGAACCAGTCTACAATCCACTGTATTGCACGATCAATGACATTATAGGGTAATTGTGTGAACATTTCCTTGATATCGTAAGTACGAGCGATGACTCCGTACCTGGATTGGGGTCCATCATCCTTGTTAATTGAGGATATCTCTTGCCGAAGGTCACCCAACGCTCTGAGACTAAAATGGGGAACGTTGATCCTTCGAATAAGAGTATTCAAAGCCAATGACAAAATTCCGGACACGACTCGAAAAGGGCTTGCAAAGGACGGAACGATGGGTCTCCTTTTTTCTTTGTCTTTCTCTTTAGGCATAATATATGCAAACTGCAACTCGCCTCGATGATCCCATCGTGCAATCTGTCCCAGGTTCTAACAATTATACTTACTGCACATATCTCTTAGGGTCAAACTTTTGTCCGAGGAGACTCGTTCGTAATTCTCACATTTAAGAAACATTTTTTGCAGTCCAATCTCAAATCTTTTGGGGCACTCCACCCATGTTTCGCTAGAGTTGAGGTCCACAGGTCCAAGTACCAGCCCTGAGAACGCTTGCTTCACACCAGAGACGTACTCGCTAAGGATACAACCGGGAGGCATAGTTTCACCTTTCTTCGTAACAACACCGTGTGGAATTCGCAACTTACTAGTCACAACCCCCGACTTTTGAATGACATCCAATGCTTCATTACATGCTCGGTTTAGGGTCTCATACGACGTAATTGCACCTGGGAAAGGAACATCCTTAACATTGAACAGAAAAGGGTTCAAGTCAGCAATCTCGCTAAGTTTGACTGCGACGTGCCCATCAATTTTAGGCAGGTCGAAGTTCTCGCACAAGCACTCAAAGGAGCAACGTTGAGCGAAAACTTTGTGGTTATGCAACAAATCTCCAACTTATTTGGCTTTCAACCAAACCGTTCGAGTTTTTTTCGCATACAAGTCAGCTAGCGGGCCAGGCTGGACATTCCCCTGGATCCAATCCTTCAAAAGCTTTCCACTTTCCCCTTATCCACTGTGGTACAAAAAGGAATCTTCGCAACGATTTTTGCACGAGGATTGATGCCGAACTTCTTTTTACACACGTTTGTTAAGATCCCACGAACTATTTGCCTTCCTCTCGATTGGTTAATATTCTTAACAGCGGAGTCCATCTCAAGCAATTCCCAGAGGCTAAGTTTGAACAAACCTTTCCGTTTCCATGGGGCTCGCAAGATAGAAATGACCTCAGCCTTCCTAATACCGGTTTTAGTAGGGGTTTGGAAGAGCGAGGTGATTGTCCATTCTCCTCCTTCTTCGATGGTATTTTTTGCATCTTTAAGCAACCAATTATCGTTCCCGATTTCCAGTTTACTGCGCCCAAACAGTAAACACACCAGCCGCCAAGCTTTCATCCATCGCCCGCTGGTGTTGTTCGTCATAGTGATTGGAGTTTTTACCCTGTTTTTTCTCAGCGCTTTCAAAACTCGGAGCAGGTCCGGTTCATTTTCAATCTTAACATTCGGGCATGAGAACTAGAGTGGTTCCAAAATGTCGATCGGTGTTAAGTGCTTGTCAGGGCGCTTTCCACGCGGTCTTCTTGGCCTCCGACGTTTACCGGTCCCACGGGCATTTAGCCCCGGGTTCAAACTTTTAATTAGATCCAATTCCATGCATTCAATCTCTGAGTTACTACCGAACCAAACAGGGATAGGAATATACAAATCAATCCCAATTTTTCGAAACCAGGAATGGACTCTTTGCTTACTGTTGCCTCGTACTGCTCGGCAGTGTTCAGTCCAACGCTCACGGAGTGATCTACTTGTCTTCCCTACATAAACCAATCTGTGGTTGAGTGACATCAGCACATAAACTCAATTGTGCGCTTCTAACAGTTTGCACCAATCCTCGCGCTCTAACCTTAGCCAGAAACGGACATACATTAGCCCCCAACTCAGGTAGCCATTTAGACACGAAGAATTGTAAGTAGCGCATGGATTTGATCGAAAAGGTTAGTCAGTGACGGATCAAGGACTCGCTTGGCACGATGCAACTGGGCGAGTGCACGCCTAAAAGATCTGATGCTGCCAAGGCTCAGTTTCCCTTGACTGTGTCGTGGTCCTCCCCTGCGTCATCGTGTCCCGGTTCTGCGCTGAGTTCCTTCCGCCGAGCTTTGTCGCCTTCGCGCGTGCTGCGTTCCTCCCGTAGTGAGTCCGCGTACTCTTGCAAATCCTGCCTTGCCAGTTCCCAAACGGCGACATCCTTCTTGAAGTACTCGATCTCCCGTTCCTTGCACATTTCCTGAACTCGCGTGTAGTGCAGGGAACCATAGTACTCGGCCCGTACCTTCATGTATGACGCAAACTCGTCTTCATCCGGGTCATCCTCGTCGCATTCCACCTGGGCATTTTCCGCCATATCGGTACCTTCACCGTGGCCCTCACCGGGACCTTGTCTCGCATTGCTACGCTGGATTACTTTGGACTTTCCTTTCGGATCTGCCAGGCCACTCATTAGTGCGGCAAGCATCCGCTTGATGTCAGATAGCTCACTGCTGGTACTTTCCAACTTCGATTGCAAGTTCTGCTTGGTGCCAGATGGTCCTTCGTCATCTGACAACTCAATCCGCTTTGGCTTGGTCTTCGAACTGCCTTTCGATCGTGGCCGCGCGCGTGCAGCTGATGGCGAATTTTCCACTGGAGTGTGTACACCGCACCTTTTCCGTTTTTCGTTGCTGGAGAGTTCCTTGTCCTTGCCACCTTGCACTTCCTTCCGCAAGCGTTCTAGTTCCTCACGCTCGTCGGCGTCCAACTTCAATTTCTTGTCCACGCTGTCCAGTTTGGAATTGATGAGCTTCAGACACTCCCCCAGCGTGGTAGTGACCCACGCTTTCTTGTCTTCACTCTTATCGGTGGATCGAGAGTCAAATCTGCTACCGTCATCAGACAGTTCCCTGCTTCGCGGGCCGCTTCGCGCCACAGCACTATTCCTTGGAGCGCCGAGCTTCTTCTTCGCTTCGTCGATGGATTTGCTAGACTTGATGCCTTCCAAGATTCCATGTACTCCTTGGTGAAGTACGCACGATTGCCAGGGCCCGGAAAGTTATTAGCAGCCGAAACCTTGCCGCCACCGCTTGAAGCAGAGCTTCCCCCTTGTCCGTGAAATCCATGTGGATTCACTGGTACTGTAGGAGGGAGCTGATGTGTGGGCATCTGGGCAGGCATGTGCGTCGGAGTAACCCCGGATATGGGGACATGAGAGGGTAATGCATTGCCACCCCATGGAATACTTGCTGGCCATGACACGGTAGGCTGCTGCTGCGGAGGTCCCCACGCTTGCGAGTTCCACTGTGGTTGATACTGCGCAGGCATCCCGACTGGAGCTGGCGGCACTGGTGGCTGTACGGTAGGAGGCTGATGAGTCGGACTGCCTATGTAGTATGGAACTCCTGGAGGAGCTGGGTTCACCGCTGTTCCTGCCGCAGTCATGTAAGGAACACTTGGCGCAGCTTGCTGCTGCGCGTAATGGTTGCTATTCGAACCATCCATCCAAAAACGGCCGCAATTCGACCACCGGCCACGTCGACTACCGGCCTTACTCCCTCGACCTCTTGAGCTCATGCGACCCACAACAAAGGAAACGACACAGAGACTAATGTCGATGCCAATAACCACCTCAGTAGCACGTGGGTGGTCTAACCAACTACTCGGTGTAATAGAAGCAGTCGCTTTCACTACCATGCCAATCGCAACAACACGGTTACAAGGAGCTCACAACTAACAACCAAATGCTACAGTGGCCCCTCGATGCCATAAATTGGATTAAATTAAATTAAATTAAATTAAATTAAATTAAACTTTGAAAAACACCCTAGTATGCCCGATATAATGAAGTGCGAATAAACACAATGAGCAGAGCGCGATGCCCTGTATTACCGAAATGCAGATACTTCGACGGCGAATCGCACGAAAGTATAACAGCGCAGTAACACTGATAATCATGTAACATTAAATAACAGAGAGTAGCAGCACAGTACCAACAAAGTGACAACAAGGTAACATCAAAGTAACAACAAGGTAACATAAAAGTAACATCAAAATAACAATCCGTGAAGCGCGCGCTCAGATACGTCTATCGCCCAGCCTCGTTCCCAAGCCACGGCAAGGTCGACGCTGAGACTCTAGTCCATGAGAGAGAGATTACACCAATGGAACCGAAATAGAAGAAGATGCCTTGAGCTTTAATATCGTGGCGTACAACATCTTCCCCTCCACCATCCGTAACACCATTACGGATRCTCRACCCTTCCACTCAAKACACCACTCAGATTGAGGACATCCTACGTATAGCACTGTGCTTAAATAAGAGATTTGCCACCTGCTACCTGGAAACTCGAGTGGGCATACGTTCCTTAGAAAAAACACAGTAAATGAGGTCCAACGAGGGCCGCAAGGGCACTTGTTCGTTCGTTGGGCCCTGAGGGCCGGTACTTACCGTGGTCGTGGCACTGGGAAAACACTCAAGTGGCGGGGTAAGAGGCCCGCAGCACTTGAAGCAGCGGGGAAACACTCAAGTAGCAGGTAGGCCGGTACCACACCCTGAAGCGGTAGATGTGCCGGGTACTGGAGGNAGCAGCGGGGAAACACTCAAGTAGCAGGTAGGCCGGTACCACACCCTGAAGCGGTAGATGTGCCGGGTACTGGAGGCCGAGCAGAAGAAGACAAAGGTGGCATTTTTAGAGGCGTAGTTGTAGGCTAGGTCTAGGTGGGTACCAGTCCGAGTCTAGGGCCTATACGGGCAATATCAGAGTCTGCAATGATGTTTCCCTCCGGAAGGGAGGAGGTACCGGTTTCTTGGACGGCCGAGCGACCGGGAAGTCACCACCCAAGAGGCAAGCAGGCCGCTATATCTCCAGGTCGGGCGAAGAGTCCAGCCTCATTGTCAGTGTGCAAGTTTGGAGACACACTAGTTGGAGCGTTGGCTGGAGCAGCGCTAGCTTGGAGCAGCGCTGCTGGGGAAGAAGCAAGGACTCGGAGGAGGAAGAAGGATAGGAAGGGGGAGGAGCGCCAGAGGTACTTACCTGGCTATGGTGGCAGCCATCTTCATCACCTTGGTGGGCGCTGCAGCAGGAAGGCCCCAGCTGGGGGTTGAGATACACCAAGAAGTAATGCCGCTCCGGCTAGGAGTTCTACCTTCTCTTCTTTGAGCTATTCAGTTCGTTTCTTGTCTCGAGTTCATATTTTGATGCCCGTAGAGACTTGTAGACAAAAGGAAGAGAGAGAAAGAAGAGAGAGTGAAAGCTCCCATCTTGAGGGACTTGCGGAAATGGGCGATGCAAAGGCTTATGTGGCCTTGAATGCCCAAATGGATGCAGCCGTAGAGGAGGATAAAACACTGTCCCAAACTCTCTACAAAAAGGCACTGGCAAGGGAAGAGAAAGCCGAGGAGGAAAAGCGGAAAACCGTTGTTGCAAACCATGAGGCTGTCCTCAAAACAGTCCCCTCCATGCCTGACACTAAGGTCAGGAAGGAGATAGTCACATATGCACATGCTCTTATAGACTGTCACCTACTCGGTGACGTCCCTGAACAGATCACCAAACTTTCTGCGGAGATAAGTGAACTTCGGGCAGAAATGTGGCAGAAATGGCCAAGGAGCACAGTGATCAGATGCGGCAGATGGCAAATCTGCAAAAGGATCAGATTCCTAATCCTCTCCTTCTACCTCCTGCCTCCAATGCTGCTAACCAAACTGTCCTCGCTCCTCTCCATTCCTCTACTTCTTCTCAAAGTGTGGTTCCATCGGGACCTGCAGTAGGTGTAGACATGCTGCCGCTTCCGCAAGTGACCGCGCAAGAAATTCTGCAACTGTTGCAGCCTTGAGTTCAGAAACAACAATCGTTGGTGCCGGCTACAACAATCCCTATGTGGACAGAAGGTGGTTCCCATACCGTCTAAGTACGATAGCAAAGAAGACATCGAGTCGTGGATCAGCTCCATGAGAGCTTACTTCGAGGTGCTGGGAACTCAACCAGTGAGCCAGCCCTTGATCATGGGGACCAACGTCCACCCCGTCGTACGAAGCTTCTTAGAAGTCCAAGCTACGCAAGTCGGGTACAATAAGATCAATCTGACACAGTGGCTCAAAGTCACACCCCTAGCCACACTTGAGGAGATCCTAATAAAACAATTTAAGGATCCACATGTTGCTGCAAGAACCCGAAAGAGACCTGATGATCTCAATCGCAGCAAGTGGACGGGCACCATGCATAATTTGCAGTTGTTTGTCTGCAAACTTTTTGCTACTCCAGGACTGGAAATGACTGCACAATCATATGCTTGGATGTTGTAAAAGGTACGGTTCCCACTACGTACATGCATGGCCTAGGCAAAGAGCTCATTGGTTACACGGATTGACTTTCCCCCATGCAGGATGTGGTCAGCATTGAGGCACAAGACCTTATTACCACAACAGGCAGCAAAAAGCCTATGGGCGACAGGCGGTTCAGAGGCAGCAACCGTTTTGTCGTGCATGACCTGTTGGAGGCCGATGAGGAGGCCTATGCGGACGACCCCACTCTTGGTGACGACCAAGAACAAGACCCTGACACGGCCTGCTCCTCTTCAGCCCATGAGTCTGATGTGAATCATGAAGAAGAAAAATTAAATGCGTTTAGAAAGTTTGCCGACGTAAAGGGACCAAACCGGAATTCAGGAAAGAACTATGTCCAACCTCCCAAGGGTGTCAAAATCCAAGCGAAACCGGAGGATGCAGCCACTAAACCATGGGTTGACCTCCGGATCACTGAAAATGATTGGAGGATTAGGCTCAAGAAGGGGTTATGCCCGCATTGCCAGAAATCGAACCATAAAGTACAAGATTGTTATAGGCTGCAGGGAAACCAGAATCGGGCGTAGAGTTGGCATCAGCACCCTTTACGGCATGGGAGACTGAATCTGATGCAAACCAGCAGCCCTCCCTTGAAGCCCAGTCATCTGCTGATTCCAAGGCTGAAGTGTGTCATGCTTTGTAATGTCGAGCCTTGGGAGGAGTCTGAGACGGTTGACTTCCACTACCACTTGGAGCATTTGGTTGAGATGAAACATCAGCGTGCCCAAGGGACAGTGAAGTTGATCTTCTTAAAACTTCTCATGAACCACCGCTATCTTCGTGTCTTGATTGATTGTGCTGCAACTACAAACTTTATGTCACCACACGGGATACGCAGAGTGGGTTTGGGAATGAAGCAAGCGGCCTTGCAGAACCCTTGTCGGGCCCAAGTAGGCAACAAGGAAGTTGTCTCCTCTACGCATGCAGTCAAAGGTGTGCGCACTACCTTTGACAAGGACAAAACCGTCACCCACGCTTTGAACTTCTATGTCCTTGACAAGTGTCCCTTCAACGCTATCCTTGGCTTGGGCTGGCTGCAGTCCCAATGCGAATAGACCCAAGTAAAAGGAGTCAGTCTTCATGGTCAAAGATGCTCAAGGGAACGAGCTTCCCGTCCTCTTGGATGAGAAGCACGAGTCCGCAGTGACTTTTCTGAATGCCATGCAGTTCTGCAAGAAATGGCGCAAGCACGAAGAGGATGAACAATTGTATGTTGCCTTTGTTCGCTCTACTCATGTGTCATCTACTTTTGCGACTAGTACCAATACTACTTCATCTAGTGATTCTACTTCTAGCCCTTCTACTTCTTTACCTACCCCTAATCTAAATGATTTTACTTCAGATTTGGTCGCCTCCATTCACAACCTGCGACCTGATCTAGGTGACTCTTTTGCTGACCTTTCACCCCCACTGGTCCCAACAAGCATCCAAAACCTACTTGATCGGTTCCCAAAAGTTCTGGTCGAACCACGTGGAGTTCCCACACGATCAGTCCGAGACACCATCGAGTTGGTCGAAGGTGTTGTTCCTCCCAAGGGCTGCGCATACCGAATGGGATCCGGCGAGTTGGAGGAACTCTGGAGACAGATTGATGAAATGATCGACAAGGGTTGGATCAAGCCTAGTGAGTTTGAATTTGGTGCCCCTATTTTGTTTGTCCCGAGGAAAGGAGGCAAGCTCCGCATGTGTATAGACTATCGTGGTCTAAACCGCATCACAAGAAAGAATGCCTATCCATTGCCTCACATAGATGACTTGCTGGATGCGACAGGTGGGTGCAAGGTCTTCTCCAAGATCGATCTCAAGTCTGGCTATCACCAGATTAAAGTCGATACTGCGGACCAACATAAGACTGCGTTCAAAACACGCGATGGGCTTTGTGAGTTTACCGTAATGCCCTTCGGTCTCATGGACGCACCGTCCACCTTTCAAAGCCTCATGGACAAGGTCCTTCGCGAACAGATTGGCCGGTTCGTGGTGGTATACCTTGATGATAATATGATCTTCAACAAATCCATGGAGGAACACATAAAGCACCTTGAGGAAGTGTTCACCATCCTCAAGAAGACGCAACTCCATCTCAACTTAGAGAAATCCGAGTTTGGGAGGAATAGCGTCATCTATCTTGGGCATCGGTTGTCTGCTGCAGGCCCAAAGCCTGAGGCAACCAAGGTTGAGGTCAT